ATAAAGGTCACTAAAGCTAAAAAGGGTCTTTTCTGAAAATGGAAACTTGGTCCAGAAGGTTTGATAGGTGCCCAGCTGGTGAGTCACAGGGCTTCAGGTCTGCTGACTCCAAAGTCAGTCCACCCACCCTGTATCTTACACACACACATACACACACACCCATCCTATTCCTACATCATCACAGAGCCAAGAGGAAAGAAATGATTTCATCAATGCACACATTTCTAGTAGCAGCAGTAAGGGTCCCTCGTGACTGTTGTTCCTTTACTCCAAACCGTCTGAGGGTCCTCAAAGCCCTCTGCTTTGGTCCAGTTAAAGGTCCAGCCTGGTGTGTGACTGTTTCCTTCCCCATCTAGTATGGAAGTGGACATTCTGAGGTTAATCACTGACCATTAGTTTTAAGCAAAATATTCATTTCCCTTAACTCCTGTGGCAGAACTGTGACCCACAATGCTCTCTTTTGTCATGAGTGTCACAACTACCATTTGGGTGACTTGCTACTGGCGGCCCCTCAGCAGACGGAGCCCATGCCCAGGTTCACCTTGGCCAGGTCCGTAGGAAACGTGTGCTTCTAACTCATTCAGGAAATACTTCCTTCCTAGGAGAGAGATGTGGGAATGACCTCCCAAGGCCCAGGTCACACAGGCACTGGAGGGGGCGGAGAGGCCACACAGTGTCACGTATTGGCATGAGAAAAGGACTCTTTGTGATCCAGCAGGAGGAGAGAGCATTGACCTAAGTGGAAAGGCAGGAAATGAAGAGGGACACACAAGAGATGAGAGACAGGACAGTATCAGGAGGACTGACGCAGGTGACGGCTGCAGCCAGCACCTGAACCGTGGAAACAGCTTTATTTATTCACTATCTTAACAAGGTACATAAATCTTAGCAGATGGGGTAAAGATCAGCCTCAAAGAGGAAAAGCTGTGTGCTTGCCTTTAACAAGGAAAGTGTGCATGGCCACGTGACTTCTGGCAGGTGGAAAGAATGTTGTTAAAGGAGGAGAAGTGGTTGGGGGTCACTCCCTGAGCATTTCCCAGGCTGTGGAGACCCTGCTGGCTGTAGCCTGCTCCCCACAACAGTGTGGGAGAGGGGGTGTGAGGGTGTACTGCAAATGTTCTTGACTTTTTGTCAATGACTGACTTGATAAACCCAGTCTCCTGGGTTTCGTCTCCTATGTGCAAATGTGTGTGATACTGACATCTCAGGCTTGCGAAAATTAAGTGAGATGGTGTAATCAAAGCGCCGGGGACCTTCTGAAGCACACAGTTGTCACCATTTGTGATCATTGACAGCGATGCATGGTCCTGACCTCACTGCAGCATTTGTGCCTTGGGGAAGCTTCCAACTGGACAGAGACTTAGCAGGCATACTCTGCATAGAGCTTAATGCAGAGGCTCTGTGGCCAGCTGGGGTCCAGATGGCCTCCTGCTGAAATGTGGCACTGAGGACATCAGGCTCCTCCCTACCCAGTGTCAACCTCAGAAACCCACTTTCTCTTCTGGTAAGTGGTAAGCAGGGGGATCCGCAAGGGGAAAAGTGATGAAGTATGTGTGTGGCTCTGTCTTTTAGGGACTAAAGATTCCAGAACACTTGGTAAACTCTGTCCAAGTGGGCCCTGCTTTGGAAGTTAGGTGGGGAAATGGTGCAACTCATAAACTGCCTTCTTGGTTTGGAGCTCATTCTGTTGGCCTGCCTCTGAGAGAAAGGGGCTCTGTGTCTGATGCCAGGGTTCAAAGCCAGCTCTGTCTTTTACCGCCTGTGTGATTTGGGGTAGCCCTCTCTGAAGCATTGGTGAACTCATCCATAAAGTGAGGTTTGATGGCTGATGCATGTACGTTCTCAGCAGTGCCACCATGTGGGAAATCCTCCCCACATTGGAGCTGTCATTCTTATTGG